ATTCTAAACAGTGCTTTATACATAGCCGCCTGCACGAAGAACAATGAGGAAAATAGACGATAAGGTGAACTTTGTATGTTAAGTCATTTTTATCAATAAAAGGAAGTAATCAACGACAAGCACCATTTGTTTAGTCATTTGTTCATTTATTCACTCCTAACTCAATACAACACTGATCAATCATAAAAAAATATTAAAACATATATACATACAGTATGTACAATATATAAAACAATACAAAACAGCATAAGAAAATGACTGGTAATATTAACCATGCAACCACTGCAATACAACTCTGAGGCTACACATGAAGTGTTAGTCTTTACTGTCAGTGTCAGGGCAGTTGTCATCCTCCTTCTCTTCGATTTCATGTTTGTTTGTAGAGTGGCAACACCTACACAGGTCTGAACAACAGAGTCCTGCAAAGACACAAGAACACCTACCTGTCTCACAAGTACTCTCCTTGCAGCTGCAGTGTATGACATGCAAAACACTGTCAGGGGCCAGATTTCTTGTCATTCATGTGACATGTAGATTTCCATCTTCTAGGTGCCAACCAGATCCAGCAGGTAATGGAGCACCTATATTTTGTTTGATGCAGGACCTCATGATTGCAGTCCTGTACCGAGCCTCATTAACATTTTCAGCAGCTGGCTGATCATACAGGTGGCATACGTAGTTGCAAAGTAGTGCAAATGTTGAGTGGTCCAAGTTAAAGTTAGCACCCAGATTTGTAAAACCCTTAAGGTACGTTTTCCGCTCACTTGCCACAGAAAATGTCTTTCTTTTGCTTTTACCATAAAGGCACTTGTGGAGTCACACCCAGAGAATGTATGTATGCCAATCATGGCTGAACACACACTGGTTCCAAGAGCTGATGACACCTTGGTAATGTCAATGATGCGTGTCCTGTTGCCCGTCCCTGTGAAAGAATATAAGCTGCATGGTAAATTTGTCTGCATACTTACTGCAATGACTCAGTGTCAGGACTCTTAATGATGACAGTTGCATGCTCTTTTGCAGCATGTTGTGCATGCGAAAACACCCTTGACTCACATTCTTCATGATCACTCCACAGGTCTTCAACAGCATGGACAGATTGTACACCTGATTGTACGACTTTGTAGTACAGACCTGTGTAGGTGTTGCCACTGTGCAAACAAACATGAAATCGAGGAGAAGGAGGATGACAACTGCCCTGACACTGACAGTAAGGTCTAACATTTCATGTGTAGCCTCAGAGTTGTGTTGCAGTGGTTGCATGGTTAATATTATTATGCTGTTTTGTACTGTTTTATATATTGAACATACAGTATGTATATATGTTTTAATAAAGATTGTTTTCAGAGTTGTATTGCAGTGGTTGCATGGTTAATATTACCAGTCATTTTCTTATGCTGTTTTGTATTGTTTTATATAATGTACATACTGTATGTGCATATGTTTTAATAAAGTTTTTTTTATGATTGATCAGTGTTGTATAGTGTTGCGAATAAATGAACAAATGAATAAACAAATGGTCCTTGTCATTCATTACTTCCATTTATTGAGCAAAATGACTTAACATACACCCCTCCTTGAACCGCAACCTTAACGTGGCAGAGGGGTTTGAGTATCCGAATGAAGCTAGGAGCTATGTTGTTGGGGGCTTAATGCCCCTGGTAGGGTCTCCCAAGGCAAACAGGTCCTAGGCGACGGATCAGACTAAGAGCAGTTCAAACCCCCCCTTGATGAAGAAAACCATAACACCAAAAAAGTTCACGTCACCCGGATTGACGTCACCGGGGCCCCACCCTGGAGCCAGGCCTGGCCCGAACAAGCGACGTGAGCCTGCTTTCCAGTAGGCCCACCACCCGCCCACAAGGGGTCAGTGCTTTGTGATTTGGGTGGCGGTCGTGGGCAGGGACCCCGAAGGCCCAATCCCTGGACAACCACTCTGGCTATGGGGACATGGAATGTCACCTCGCTGGGGGGAAAAGAGCCTGAGCTTGTGCGGAAGGTTGAGCGATACCGACTAGATATAGTCGGGCTCACCTCCACGCACAGTCTGGGCTCTGGGACCCAACTCCTTGAGAGAGCCTGGACTCTCTTCTACTCTGGAGCTGCTCGCGGTGAGAGGTGCTGTGCTGGCGTAGGCTTGCTTATAGCTCCCCAGCTCGCCAGTCGTGTGTTGGAGTTCTCCCTACTGAGCGAGAGGGTCGCTTCCCTGCGCCTTCGGGTCAGGGATAGGTGTCTCACTGGCACTGGGAGGGGTACTGGACAGTGCTCCTCCCAGGAATTCCATCGTCCTGTTGGGGGACTTCAACAATCACGTGGGCAGCGAGAGTGACACCTGGAGGGGTGTGATCGGGAGGAAAGGCCTTCCCGATCTAAATTCGAGTGGTGTTTTGTTATTGGACTTCTGTGCTAGTCCATTATTTTACCATAATTATCTGCACCTCTGATGTGTCAAAATAAATGAAACAATCATGTACTTTTTACAAGTTTGTTCAGCCCAGAACATCTATAAGACTAATTTTAATATTGGCTTCCATGTCATAACGTCTGCCTGGGAGGATGGCTTTGTTTTTTACCGAACAAGCAGCCCTGTCTGGTTGTACTCAGAGCTCAGTGACCCCCCCCCCCCCCCCCCCCCCCCCCCCCCCGCCGTGGCTGTTGGAGAAATAGTTGAGTTAAAATGTGTTTTAACTATTCTGCCAGCTTTCATTGATTTAGCGTATTTAGTTGGGGGCGGCACTCTTGAAGCTCTGACAGGATATCTTAGAGGCATGTGATGAGATGTCAGATGTCAGAAGCATGTCTGGTGCATAATAGAGATGTCTCAGCTTGTGAGACGTAAGTGGCCGGACAACAGAAGTTTATCTTCTTTGAACCTTTTCAGTGTTGGGGGGCGCTAGATCCCCACATATTTAGTTTTCATCTTTGAAAGGAAAGTTGACAATTAGGTCTTTTATTTAAAATTAAATTTACAAAATAAACAATGTTTTTTAGGCTGCTGGAGGAAGGCAAAGTAACCCTGCAGGCCCTTTTCCACTGTTGTTTACCTTAGCCTTAGACCTAGCCCTAAACTATTTAGAAGCCATTCAACAACCATCTCATTCACAGATGGCAATAAGGTGCACAATGGACGTTCAAGTGGGTGAGTTTAATAGCATTTTTATTTTTGAAGTTGCTCCTCCCTGGTTACACAGTCTCATCTTTCCAGTTCTTGGTAACCATGAATTGTTTGTATTGTGACAATTTTTTTAGAAACACCCTCTATTGAAATTGCCGAAAAAGATGTCAACTGGGACTTAAGTTAACGTTAGCAGACGCAGCTGCGGTGAATCATAAAAAATTATTAATCGCCACTTTACTCGTCAAAGACGCGACTTTGAGAAAGAGAATATCTTAGATTGATGGGAAATAAAAAGCATGATGATTGCCAATAGATTTACTGTAGGTGTAAAACATCTTTTGTAATTGTGTCTGTGGCCTTCATGAAGGGACAACAGTGATGTGATTTACAGCCACACATGACACAGGAATATATAATATATAATCCTCGTATTTTGCACCAGTGGACCGTGAGGGAACAACAATAAACAGTAGACTATACATATCGGTCTACAAACTAACAAGCCTTTCTTTTCAATGCCTGTATTCATGCTACGCAACAGAAGGCAGCAGCAGAAGTTTGCATGCTAAATCATCCAAGTCAATTAAAGAGTCTCTTCTCAGGCTGTAAATTGCCAGACTCTGATCTGCTGTTGACCTCAAATCCCGATCCAGACAAGCCTCTCACCATTGCTTCCCGATCAGCATTTTTTCCTTCCCTGCACTGCTACAAACTGAGCAAAGTTTCACTCTTGTCTTATCTGACTCTTCTCCTACAGTCTGGCAAACATGAAGCGGGCACAGTGATGGAAATTGAGTTTGCTTTGTTAATCAAACAACTGCAGATTCATTCTCCTCTTCTTTCATCGCAGTGAAGCCTATCCATTATGCAGGAGTTTGAGCTGCAGTGATTCATTTTTTGAAACGAAAACGTTCATCGAGAATGTCCAACTCGACTTGAGGAAGACTGAGGAAGCATATTTAAACATAATGATATTGAGGCAGGCAAGGTAGAGTGGTTTGGGTTTCTGCTAAGAGGGTTGCGGGTTCAAATCCCAGCCACAACATCGTTGTTTTGTGTTCAGTCAGCACCAGAAATCTCAGCCCAAATTACGTTGTGTGTACAAGTTCAAGAACAGATCGAGATGTTCTTTTTTACCCGAATAATAGCTAACACTATCCGATTAGTCCTTCCTATTTTCTATATACATTATTAGTTAATTCTTACCAACCCTATGAAGCTTTCAGTGGGAATCCTTATCCAAGTTGCTGTGGTGCTAAGCTAAGCTAATGCAACTTTTGCACAAAATGCACTACCTTAGTTTGACTGAACAACATATGTCTTGACAGGACTGTACCTTAATATATGATGAGAAAATAGAACTGTAACTAAATGAGGTCGTCCCAGTGACTCGAGGTACAAGCTCATACAAGGTTTTGTGTCTGCAAACTGTAACTAGATGAGGTCATCACTGGTAAGGGACTCGTGGTACAAGCTCATACACAGTCTTGTGTCTGCAGCTACAGCTAAAAGCACGATTCAGCTAGCATTACGAAATCTCTTGGCCGGGCTACACTAAGGTGTGAAGAGTTTCTTTGTAGCTGTTATTTACTGACGTGTTTCTCAGATTAGTGTTATACGGAGAGGAATTCCTTTTCCAGTAATTCAAAGAGTACTAGAGAATAAATAAAGACTTCACAAACTTTGCAGATAGTCTCTAGCTTAACAAGCCTGAACAAACCCAGTTACCGAATGTGTTTAGACAGAGAGATTATACCAGCAAAACCTGAATACTTACCTCAAGGTTTGGTGTTAATGAGGATAACTAATTACAATGACATTTATTCCAATCCTTATCTTTATTTGACTGGCAGTAGGAATACATAGGAATACGTAGGAATAGCTGCGGATTCGATTTCAACACACGTGTTGAAATCGAATCCGCAGCTATTAACCAGAGACATGTATACACGTTACAAAGCCATTTCATCTCACTATCGATTTCAAACTTAGTGGGTTTGAAGAAGCCACAGCGTAACTGAGAACGTGGGTGGAGATGGGTCGACATGGAAATCTTACTAACACAACAGTTGTTGCAATTAAAAAAACAAAATCTACTACTTTGGTAATAAAACTTAAATTATTGTATAGAGATAACGTCTGACAACATGGATATTTCAATTTTACTAATGATATAGTGAAAGCTTTAAACCAGGGGTGTCGAACTAATTTTCACCGCACCTGGGCCGCAGTGGGACGCAGCACCTTGCTACCAGTCTGTAGCAGCAACGTGTGGTACTGACTGACCAGTCCTTGGAACAGAAAAGGTTGGGGACCGCTGCTAGATGTAACTACTCCATAACAGACTAATACATGTGTCTGCAATCGATTATTATTTGTTCAAGCTACTAATATTGTTCATTGCTATGTAATAAAAAAATCTTTTAAGTTCATAGGTTAAGAAACTCTTTTGCATTGACTTTACTAAATGCTTTTTAAGCTCCTGTGGGCCACACAAAACGGCTTGGTGGGCCTCATTTGGCCCCAGGGCCTTGAGTTTGTCATATGCTTTAAACTTTGAGAGGTTTTATTTCAAATTTACAGACATTTATCTGTGAAAGTTTTGGTGTGGCCCTTGGCTCAGTGGTTGATGGATCAGGGTTGTTAAGCAAGGTCTATTTAGCATTAAGCGAACACCAAAAAACGACCGCAGTACCAATTGTGCAACCAGTTCCTCCTGTGTATTTGGTGTTTGGTGTTGAATGAAATAAAATGAAGTGAAGCGAATAAAGCAACAAAGCAATTGTTGAGCCTTAACCGCCTGCTTTTAAAACTTCGGTGAATGCTGCTTTTATACTCCAACCTACCATATAATATACTAACTGACTAATAACCCACTCATTTTTATGACTAATTCCGTCCAAACTGTTTAACTATTGGGAGCGGCACACATTTGTGTTTTGGTGTTTTTGCTTACCCGGGTAGTGTTACGTGAGATGACTCAGTCATCCAGGTCATTTAACTCAAAAATAGTCGAGGGCAACTGGACGAATTCGTTTTTTTTAAATGAATGAATATTAATTTTTTTTTTTTTTTTTTTGGTGCCCTCTTGCATAAAACCACCCA